TAAGTCTTTGTCTCTGTAAAATGGTTAAATCTTTAAAAAATGATAACTCTTGACTACTTTATTTTACTATTAGACTCTATCTATATTTGGGAATTACGAAATTGGTAAGTATAATATGAAACACGTGATTCTTTTATTACCAGTTTAGAAGAGATAAATCATGCATGATTTTTGTAATTTCTACTCAATTTCTACTTAATTTTTCTTATATATTTTCTCATCATGTTGAAATAGCCCCCCTTTCCTCCTAATCAAGGATCCTGGCTCCGTCCATGTATAACATGATGACTTGCTTCTAGCTTGTCCTCTAGATTCTTTAAATTGTACCATAACGGTAAACGTACAACTTCAAATTGTACCATAAATGAAAAAACTAACATACCAATTGCTCTAAATCGCTGTAAAATTCCTCTACACCTATATCATACTCTCAAGTAATCTTATCGTAGATTTTATTTCGTGGTAGTTAAATATATAAAAATTTCACCTGCCGCCATAGGGGATGGGACTACTGTCTATTTTAAAGTTTCGACTTCTTACTTAGTTTAATGCCTCTATTTCTCAAATATGTATATCTTAGGGCTGAAAGCCGCACCTACTTCCACTAATATCGTTGGTCTTAATTAATTATCATAGTAGCTGGTTTCATATTAGTCAGCTGAGGATCAACGATGGAGTCATGCAAGATATCCAATAGTTGACCCACTTAAGCCTATCACTACTTGCTAATAAGTACAATTGTACCCCATTAATTTTTAAATTCATTCGGACATTTTTTTTAAAATTTGATTGAATTAAAATAAACATGGGCTGACATAACATCACTTTCTTCCATCCACCTTCTGAAATTTGTCCCTTTCTACTAATTTCTTAAGCCCTAGTTAGCATATCCTTTCCACCAATCAATTAATTAGAGTTAGAGAAGCTGTTTCAAAATAATTCATTTATTATCGTCGGGAGAAAATATGTAAAAAAAAAACAATAAGTTTTGATTTTCCTGATCATTTGATAAGGTGATAAAATCGTGAGATTGATTTTAACGGGTACAACAGTCTTGTCAATGATCACTACGAAAATAAGGTAGGAGTGGTAGCTACCAAGGTTTAAAACCAACCCCCCCTTCCCCCAAACTCAGATTTGTGCCTTTATTAATCACACCACTCGTAATGGGTCATTTATTTTTCTTTCGAACAGTTAAATGATCAATAAGTTTAAGATAAACAAAGACGGGTCAAGAAGAAGCGGGACGATAAGGAAATAATGTCATACTACGTATTGTGGTTCGGATATTACTCTTTTCAACACAAATCGAATAATATCCAACTAGACGTGTTCAAATTGCAATTTCTACTTATCACCACTCACCAAACTAATTAATCATGATGGATAAACAATTAAATGTCAAAGCTCCAAAAGTGTACGTGTGAGAGATAAGTGTATTGATCGAGTATTGACCATGTTTAATGGGCCACTATATTGTTGGCGACTGACGACGTGCCACCTTTTCCAGCAAAGATTTGACATCAGTTCCTTTAATTGTGAGATCATTTGACGAAATTATTATAGTTATCTTTATTATTTTTTCAGCATTTTAAAATTTAAATTACAAAGTCAAACTTCCTATTGGCCATATAATAATTTTCTTCTTAGTTAGTTTGATAAAGGCTAAATTACATTTTTGGTCACTCAAATTACGTAAATCTTTCACGTTTGCCACTCAAATTACTTTTATTTCTAACTCGCCACTAACTTTACGAATCGTTTCACCATTAGTCACTGACCGTTAGTCTCCGTCAAAGTCCGTTAACACTGTCAATTTTTTTATGACGTGGCAAACAGACTTGTTGAATTGGCTGTCAAGTTGATGAGTCATGCAATTGATCACCTAGTCCACCACAGCCACAGCCACAATACCCAACCAAACAAACAAACAAAAAAAGCCTAAAGAACTAATAAACAAAACCCAACCCAACATTAACCTTAACCCTCTCGGTTTTCCCCTTCCTTCTTCTACCTTCTGCCGGCAAACAAGACCAGGGAGACAAGAGGGCTCGACAACATCTCCTTTCTCTTCCCTCCCATCCCCGACAAGTAGAAGAGAGTTGTCGCACTGCTCCGCTTCACCTCTGCCTCTAGCAACTCTGGTTCCACTTCTCCCTCTCCGGCTAATTAGTTTCGAGTACTGCCAAACTGTCCCCGTCGCATCGAATTCGGCAGTCCAGAGAATCATTCAGCAGAATCAGCGGCAGATCGAAACCAGCGATCTAGTCGACGAGTTCAGGGACGGTGACGATTAGTTTCGGATTGGAATTGCTGGTTGGAGATTTGGCCGACTGTGTACGCCGGGTTGCAAGTAGTCACGGCAGCATTGGGGGAGGAGATTGCGAGGAAGCCGAAATACGGCGATTCGAATGCTTCGGGCAATCGCCCCCGTGCAGAACAGCAATCGCCGCCACCGTGTGGAAATCGTCTCTAAAAGCCACCGCACCATCCTCCATCGCTTGCTCTACCCCTTCACTTTATCTCACTCGTCCTCCTCAACAATCTCATCAGCCCCTCCGCCGCCACTCAGATCTACTCCTCTCCTAGACCGCCGATCATTTCCCGACAGACCCAGACCTCTCACTAACCTCCTTCCTCCTTAGCTCTGCTGCCGTCACCTCATCTCCCGATTTCTCCGCCCTCGTTGACTCAGATTTGGGCGAGACCTTGTCCTTTAGATAGGTCAGACTCCACGTCACCAAGCTGGCCCACGTTCAAATTGCATGACTCATCAACTTGACAGCCAATTCAACAATTCCGTTTGCCATGTCATCAAAAAATTGATGGGGTTAACGGAGTCTGACGGAAACTAACGGTCGGTGACTAACGGTGAAACAATTCGTAAAGTTAGTGACGAATAAGAAAGAAAAATAATTTGAGTGGCAAACGTGAAAGATTTATGTAATTTGAGTGACCAAATATGTAATTTAGCCGTTTGATAAAGTTTAAAGCTACGCATATCTCATATCTATCAAATAATCAAATTGTCTCACTCCTTTAACTAGGTGGATCGACACTCGAGCTCTCTGTAAAGTTTTAAGTAACCTTAATTTTTTTTTTTTGAAATATTTGTTCAATCTTATATTGTTGTAAAATAGTTTTGTCGCATGCAATTCATAGCGCGGTCCAAGCTAGATTGATGAAAAGCTTAATTTTGTTGATGTGGAGTAAGCAAAGAAGTATAGCTCGATGAATTTCATATACAAACATGAGATGTAACTAGATATTGAATGAATTTGGTAAAATTGTTGAGTATCAACAAAGGCAAAGTATATTTTTTTCCTCGGGAGAAGATTCGGTTAGTAACTTCGTTAATGACCATAGTACAATTATTGCCCCATTAAAAATGTAAAAATCATTTTAAATGGAATTTCAAAACTTTCACGAAAAAAATTATATCAATTTTGTTCTACAAAAATATATACACCTTAACGCTTTAGAAACAAACAAAAGATAAACGTTATTCGAGATATTCTTTTACCACAACATACCATGATGTTAGAGCATAGCGATACAAAATATTATACAATATGACGGTATGAAATATACATAAAATAGAAAATCGTTTTGTAAATCATAATGTAACATGTTTCTTTCATTCAAATTTTTTTAAATACAAATTAAAACGAAGGAAATACAAATTGATTACAAGAAGTACGAAGATCATGATTAGCTATGCCATTCAATACGTATTAGTTTTTTTTAATTTTCCTCAAAAGAAACTATGCAAACGTTTAACAGCACATTGGAATTAATACATGCATATATATGAATCTTTGTCCCCTTCCTTGTTCTTAAGGGTCGTTTGAAAGTTGCGATAGTTTTGTTGAGATTGTCATTATGCATGTATTGTTTACAATGCATCGTTTTTTTTTATTTTTTTAGCAGAAACAATACATGGATTGTTTATGTGATGTGACAGAAACTATCACTCATTTTGAGTGATTGTTATATCTCAATTTTTAGTTGTGATTGTTGAGATAGTTGAGTTGAGATTGTTTTGTCTCAGCTTTTAGCTGATGCGACATACACAATCACACATACCAAACGTTGTATTCTACAATGCATCAAATTCGACAATACATGTATAATATTATACATGCATTCTCAACAATACATTTATTTAACAATCATAACTTCTAAACTAACCATTACTGGCGGCATCTTCTGTTGTGAGCCAACCCTAAAACCTAATTGATCCCAGATTGGTTCCCTGTGCAACTCTAACTCTAAGGACAGATTAACGAATAGATTATAAATTAAACTAGCTAGGGAGTTGACAATGACTCCATTTTAGTACAGCTAACTGTGTTTGGTGATCGATGACGATGAAGCAATATGGTTTGGCTTTGAACCTATATATATACAGCTTTAATTTCTTTGCTGCATAACGATTCGTTGGTGAACTATAATACCAACAGTTGTATATGTTGTCACTTATTTAACATGTGACTTCATTTCCTTTGTCAACTTTCTGTGTTTAACTTAATCCATAATTATATCCCTAATTAATTATCTCGTATGTATGATCTTATGCATGGAAGATATATTTTTTATACTGCAGGCAGGCCAACATTACATGATATGAGTTAATCGTGACATGTTGCATATATCTTTAATATCTTTCGAGCAAAAAAAAAAAAACATCTGACCTAATGAAGATAGGTAAGCAAAAGCATCTGGACAGTAACGGTTGCCGTCCACCACCAAGATGAACGTAGCCACAATTTTAACTATTAGGGACATATTGTATTTACCTAAATAAATTATTGGTGACATATAGCCTGAAAACCTGAATTTTACCGGTTACCGAATCGTGACTTCAAAAGGGTGAGTTATATCTTTATCGGTTGATGAAATTGGAAGTTTCAATATGAAATTGGATAGAATAATTCGAGCGGGTTACAAAGTGAATCAAGAATATATATTCTTAGAAAACAAAATGTGTTTCCTAATAACGAGATAATATAATCAAGTACAGAATTTGCTTCATGATCGATCTGTGTGCTCCAACCGAACCTGCCAAAAAGAGGGTAGCAGATCTTTGTTACTACAATTGAGCAGTGTGGAATTGATTTGTCGAAGTAAGTAAACTCGAGGCCGGTTATGTCACAATTTAATTTGCCTGCAAAAATAATATTTCGAATTTTCTATCTTCAGGTGATCTTAATTAAGGCGATATCGCGCCGCCGTGCCTTATATGAAAACATATAATCTGAGAAAGAAAACTTTTGGAATTAAATTCCAAAAATGACTTTTTCTACCATAAAAAGAGATTTCTTTACTAATTTGTTTACCACGAACCAATTATTTTCCTAATAAACAAAGTATTTTCCTAATAATCCAAAAATTCCACTGACTTTCTGTAAGAAAAGTATTTTCCTAATAAACAAAGGCTCTTGCAGCCTGCTGGTCAATTACAATTTTATTATTATTATAATAATAACACCATTTTTGTTTTCTGGAATCAAAGAATACCATTTTTGTTCTTTTAGTGGAAATAATATAATAATAACTTCCATGTCCTTCCATTTACCATTATAAATAAGCAATGGACACCAAAGTTGAATACTCCCCCCCACCACCTTCCCCTCTCTCCAACAACAAAACACAAATAAACCATGAAATCCAGCCTTGTTCTTTGCCTTCTCCTCTGCGTTCTTCTGGTAATTAACTAATTAAAACTGATTTTACTCTTTGATTTTTTTTTTTTTTTTTGTGTGTGTAAAGTCTTCTCGCTAGCTGTGAATCTGATAATATTTATGCAGGTGAATTTCAGAGGGAACGATGCGATAAGGAAAGATCCGGCGTCGACGACGACGACGACGGAGGAGTACTGGAAGAAAGTGATGAAGGACGAGCCTCTTCCCAAATCCATCAAAGAACTGCTCGTCTTCGAGGCCGCCGGCGACGGCGACCATGCCGCCACCGCCGTCGTGGACGGGGAGAAGAAGGTGGCGATAAACCGGTTCGTGAAGGATTTCGACACTCTGACCACCGCCATCATCTACCACAACACGCAATCACATGGCGGCTAGACCGGATCGATCACCGGCCGGCTAGCTCTGTAAAAAAAATATATATATATAAAGATTAATAATAAGATGGAGCCCTAATATAGTGAAGCGCGCATGTGGCTGGACGTTCGTGTTTTCAGTGTTGTTCGTTTTGTGGTTAAAGGCAATAGTTAAGGCAATTTGGTCAGTGACGTTCTTTCTGTTAGCTAGTTTTTGTGGTTGGATTATTTTATCAATGGTTCTCCAATATGAAGTTCGTATAAGATCGATTCTGAAAATCTCTCCTCCCAACAGTTCTGAATCCGTAGAAACAATCGGTTCTTGATATGATACCCGAATCGCGGTCATGATGATCAAAAGATCTCGTGCTTGAATATTCTCGTAACTTTAATATCAACAATCGATTTAAGTAAATGTAACGATGGAGTTATGCAAACTTCAAACCTATTATTTGAATATATCATGTAACAAGATGATATAAAAGTCATTTTAAAATCGCTTATCAGGTTTAAAAAAAACATCATTTTGGGTATCGGGGAAAAAGGTAGATGTTCCACACGGTGAGGCATCATTGATCATACCATTGACGTGCAAAATCTAATGTTTTCACGCACCTCTAACAATCATTCACACAGATTCACGTATATTCATGCACATTAGCTAGCTAATTTGTCACGCGCGCACTCCCATTCGTTTACACTTATATACTTAATATATTGTAGAAGTGCGTGCAAAATAGGCCATGCGCGTGTGAATATAAATGAATCACTGTGAATAACTGATAGTACCGTTGCGTTATAATTTTTTTTGTTTTTATGTGTGAATGATGAAATGTCCCACTGTAGATAAAAATAATTAGGATCGTTTACATGAGAAATTCGTAACGGGCGAATTTGACCGTAGTTGTCTCGTTTCGAGTTAACCGGATAAGACTGACCTGTTTTCTAACATAAAATTTGAATTAAATCAACACGTCGACCTCAAAAAATTTCGAATCGCGACTCATTTAGAGTCGGTTCCAATTGTATGGCGCGAACAATTCAAATCGACTCGATTTGTAAAACGAGAGCATTCGTTTTTCTCGATTGATCTATATATAGCCGAAATTGTGTTTTTGATATCTCACGCTCAAGCACTAAATGCACACTGTAGCACCGTGCTGTTTGATGGATCCCACTACTACTGATGTTGTTTTGTTGCTACTCTCGTTTTTGGTGGTGGGAGGAGGGCGTTGACCTTAGCAGCAGTAAACTAGCTCGCCTAGCACCATACATGTGCGGCAAGCCCAGCGCAGCGCAAACCAACAATTCGAATTGAATACTACTAGTTTGTGCGCAAGTCAACTGCAGCTTTTTAAAAAGGAGGATCCAGACTATCATGCATAAATCCAGAAAAGCAGTTAGGTGACACTTCAATTTTTTCCCTGAAACTTTGCTTTCTCTAATTTTGGTCAAATCTCTGTGTCTGTCTGCTAGCTCCACTCGTATCCATCCATGGATCTCGATCATCTTCGTGGCGCAGGAGGATAGTGTAATCCACCGCAGGAGAGAAACTGACCCGACATAGGAATTTCAATCCCATATCTATCAACAAATTTGCCTGCAATTGTAGACCAACATAGACAAATTTGGCCTACAGTTTGGTTGGTGGTTTCAAATCATGGAAAGTTTCGCTTTCCAATTTCATTCCAGCTGTTTTCTGCTTGCTCTGGTTCGCTCTCAACCTGGTCAATTGGTCTGGCGAAATTTGCGTCGAGTCGAATCGGATCGGATGGAATGCTTAATCGGTTTGAGTTTAATCTCCTTTCCGCTTTGCGGTTAGCCGATGGAAATGGACGGTGGAGGGAGGTGGAGATGGAGATGGGACATAGAAACAGCTAGTGTTTGAACTTTGAAACAAGCGTTGTAAAACACTGAAATAGTTATTGGCATAATGTTTTGGATTGAAATTGTGTTTTAATTGGATTGAAATCGTGTATCAATTATGATTCAACTGTTTTATATCACAAGAACGGTTAATTAATTTAGACACTGATAAACAAAATTTCGGTTCGACCATCGGTAGAATATGTTAGAGAGTGGTATAAGATCTAGCATAACCTTCTCCCAACAACTCAAGTTATTGGGACCAACTGGTTTATGACATGGTATCAGAGCAAGGAAAGTTCAACTTGTCGATCCAATCCTAATTACCTCATCTTTTTCCTCGTCTTCGATTGCTTTGGCTCACTGCCCCCTGCTTCTTTATTACTCTGTTTTTCTTTTGAGTCTTCATCATGTCGGGTTCCAGCGCTTCTGATAACTCAGCTCCAGTCGAAGGATCCATCATCATCTTCAATCCGGATGCTCAATTACCTGTGAAATTGACTTCCACAAACTTCAATTCTTGGCGATCTCAATTGGAGACCCTTCTGATGGGTCTTGATCTCATAAGTTTCATTGACGGAACCGGGGTCGCACCTGCATGCACCATCACTGTCGACAATGGCAGCAGCCCCAACCTTGCGTATCACCTCTGGTTTCGGCAAGATAAGCTAATCTTGCACGCTCTTCGTTGTTCGATCTCTAAATCACTCTATTCTTTTGTCTCTGCTGCTGTCACTTCTCGAGAGGCTTGGCTCATCCTTGAGAAATTATATGTCGGCCGTTCTGGGTCGCGAATCATCAATCTTAAAGGGAAGATTGCTCGAACTACAAGGGGCAATCGCGATGTTCTTGAATACGTGAACGATTTGAAGCAGACAGCAGCAGAACTCGCTCTGATCGGCGCTCCGGTCTCTGACCTTGATCTGGTCATACACTGCCTTCGCGGACTCGGCCCCGATTACAATCACTTCTCGACAACAGTGCGAGCTCGTGGAACGACAGTGTCTATTGAGGATTTGCTTGATAGCCTCATTGAATATGAGGCAGATTTAAGGGAGCAAGCCAGATCTTCCACAGTGCCCACTGCTTTTTAATCGCAAGCACCGCCTCGTCGCTCTCCAAGTAGCGGCAACGGATATAATGGCGGCGACGACCCTAATTTTTCTCGCCCTTGGCAACGATCATAGCAGCTGGGCTTTCATCTTGAGCCCACTGCTTCACGCCAGCAACTGGGGTTCAATCTTGAGCCCATTCCTTCACGGGCGCACCATCAGGCCACAGGACCATCTCCTTCACTTGAGCCCACTCGCCAACGCAAGTCCAGCCTCATTTGTCAATATTGCGAAAAGCCCGAACACTCAGTCCGCCAGTGCTTTAAGCTGTTCCCACAAGCCCGCCAAACTTTTCAGCAGGCTCGTGCGGGCCAGCAGGTTAATCACACTCATATGGGCTCTTCTTCTGCTACCGGGCCTTGGCTAATGGATACGACAGCTTCACATCATGTGACTTCCGATTTGGGGCAACTTTCTCTATATTCTGATTATACAGGGCCCGACGAGATCTTTGTTGATGATGGTTCAGGTTTGGCAATCAGTCATATCGGTTCTTCTACATTCTTTTTTATGTCCACTCAGTTTCATTGGCGTGATATTTTGTGTATTCCAAGTATCAAAAAGCGTTTGATTTTTGTTGCCAAACTCTGTCAAACTAATCTTGTCTCGGTGAAATTTTTTGTCACTCATTTTCTTGTGAAGGATCTTCGCACGGGGGCGCATCTGCTGAAGGGGGAAAACAACGGTGATGTCTATGAACTGCCTTGGGAAGTGGAGCATGTTAGCATGACCTTAGTCAAAACTCGAACCTCCGCTACTTCGTGGCACGCTCGTCTTGGTCACCCTTCACATCACTTCTCACCAGTCTTGTTCGGTCATATTCTCTTCCTGTTTCATCATCACTTGCTAGTTTTCCATGAGATGCTTGGCTTTCCAATAAAATCCATAAACTGCCTTTCTCAATTTCCACTTTGGCTAGCACTCGTCCATTTGATCTTTTGGACATGGATGTTTGTGGTTCTGCTCCAGTTTCTTCAATTGATGGGTTTCATTATTACTTGATTTTTGTTGATAATTTCACTCGCTACACTTGGTATTATCCTTTACGCAACAAATCTGATGTTCTCCAGACCTTTCTTGATTTTAGGAAGATGGTTGAAAACTATTTCTCTACCACCATTCGTCGTCACTACATAGATGGTGGTGGTGAATTCATAAAATTGCGTTCTGATCTTCTTAATCATGGCATTATCCATCTTCTCACTCCACCCCATAATCCTGAACATAATGAGATTGTTGAACGAAAACATCGTCATCTGGTCGAAACTGGTATCATTCTTCTCCATCATGCTAAACTCCCCATTTCTTTTTGGTATTTTGCCTTTTCAACTGCAATCTATCTTATCAACAGGCTTCCGTCTTCCGCCTTGCGTAGTAAAATTCCATACACACTTCTCTTCAATCTTCTTCCGAACTTTCATAAACTCCGTGTTTTTGGTTGTTTATGCTATCCTTGGCTTCGCCCATATTCCTCTCATAAGCTTGATCCCCGCTCACGTCCATGTCTCTTCATTGGTTATTGTCCTCAACGTAGTGCCTATAGATGTTTTGATCCTAACACACGTCGTATTTTTATTTCACGACACGTTGTTTTTGTTGAGTCACAATTTCCAGGCTGACTCGACTCCTATTGAACCTCATTTGGCTGAATCATGGCCTTTTGACCTCTCCCCTACCATTTCCACTCTTCCGCCCTGCTCCACTGTGCCACCGCCTGGGCCTGCTCCGCTTCCTGGGCCCGCTTTGTCACCTGGGCCTGCTTCCTCCCCGACATTCTCCCCCGGGCGAGGATCTTCATCATCTGGGCCCGCGTCCAGGCTCGTTCCTCCAGCTTCTTCGGCTCTTGGGCCCCGGCCCCCTCAGTCCATTCCGGTTACACCTCCTGCTGGGCCCTCCCTCCACCCAGGCCCACCTCCGCCTCCGGCCCGCTCTCATCAGATGGCCAATCGGTCTCAACATGGCATATTTTGCCCAAAGAAACGCCTCTTCCACACCAGTCTGTCTCCCGTCCCACCTCCGCTTGAGCCCCGGTCCATTCACGGGGCTCTCCAATACCCGGAGTGGGACGTAGCTCAACACACCGAGCATTCCGCATTATTTGCCAACCATACCTGGGACTTGGTCCCTCGTCTTCCTCATTATCACGTCATTGGTAATCGGTGGGTTTATCGTGTGAAGCATCGTCCTGAATCCTGATGGATCTATCTCTCGATTTAAGTCACGTTTGGTGGCTAAGGGTTATCATAAGCTCCCCGAGCTTGATTTCGCAGACACTTTTAGTACGGTTGTCAAACCCATCACTGTTCGTACGGTCTTCACCCTGGCCCTATCTCAGTCTTGGCCCATTGCTCAATTTGATATTAACAACGCCTTTCTCCAGGTTCCTTTAGAGGAAGAGGTTTACATGGTACAGCCCCCGGGATTTTTTGACTCCTCTCGTCCTCATCATGTTTGTCGTCTTCGTCGTGCTATCTATGGGCTCCGTCAAGCCCCCCGGACGTGGTATACTGCTTTGAGCACATTTCTGCTTGATGTTGGCTTCACGAAGACTTTGACGCCTCCATGTTTGTGTATTCTCGTGGGAAGGTTCTTCTCTATTTTTTGGTCTACGTCGATGATTTGTTACTCACATGCAATGACTCTGCCACCCTTGCCTCCTTCCAGCAGGCTCTCTCTGCCCGGTTCTCTCTAAAGGCTCTTGGGGATGTCGGTTACTTTCTGGGTATTGAAGTAATTCCTACCTCCAGTTGGTATATTCTCTCTCAGCATTAGTACATGGTTGATCTTCTTAATCGTTTTCTTATGATGGATGCCAAGCCAGTTAACATGCCCCTTGCTGCCTCAACCTCGCTTACTCTCTCTGATGGCAGTGCTCCTACTAATGCCACCCGATTTCGCCAAGTTCTGGGTGCTCTCCAGTATCTTGTGTACACGCGTCCTGATATTGCATTTTCTGTTAATAAGCTCTCTCAGTTTTTGCATGCTCCGACGGTGTCTCATTGGCAGTGTGTTAAACGGTTGCTTCGATACGTCTCTGGTACTCTCTCCTATGACCTCTCTATCCATCGTTGTCCTGGCTTTCTGTCTCTCTCTGCCTTTGCTGATGCTGACTGGGTGGGTAATCTCGATGAACGGTCTTCTACCTCCAGTTATCTCATTTATCTAAGCTCTACTCTCATCTCTTGGCATTCCCAGAAGCAACGTACTGTTGCACGCTCCAGCACAGAGGCCGAATGTCGCACCATTGCCAATGCTACTGCGGAATTGGAATGGGAGCAGAATCTTCTTCTTGAACTCCGTCATCCTTTGGCCATCGTCCCCACGATCTACTCTGACAATCTTGGTGGCTTGGTGCTACATACTTCAGCTCTAATCCGGTTTTCCACTCTCGAATGAAGCACCTAGCTCTCGACTATCACTTTGTTAGGCAGCTCGTCTAGGCCGGTGGTCTTCGTGTCTCGTACATCCCCACATCTCACCAGCTTGCCGATGCTCTCATCAAGCCCTTACCGTCCACACACTTTCTTCTTCTACGAGACATGATTGGAGTCGTTGATACCTCCTCCATCTTGTGGGGGCGTAATAGAGATACATGATTCCACATTTTCTCATTATTAATTTCTTTATTCTTTTCCTTGTATATTTCAGTTCCTATTCTTGTGGGAAGTGGCTGCCATTCTGTTGTTAGGTGCACCACTTTTTCCTCATCACTCCTGTATATTAGTTGCACAGAATCATCAATGAGAATCAAGTTGGTTTTTACCACAATCACAAAATCTCCAATTTACTTTCATGGTATCAGAGCCTAGAACCGAAAAGTCATGTGTTCGAATCTCCACGACCCCCAATATTAACCGTTGTCTTTCAAGCACATGTTATGGTGGGCCTGTGCAAACTTCAAGCCCATGGGCTGGCTTTCGTTTGAGGGGGCGTGTTAGAGAGTGATATAAGATCCAGCATAACCTTCTCCCAACAACTCGAGTTATTGGGACCAACTGGTTTATGACAGAATTGAGTTTCATGAACACTACTTTACATCATAAACTAGTTAGTCCCAATAACTTGAGTTGTTGGGAGAGGTCAACAGAAGACCTCTCAGTCACAGAAGGCTCTGATACTATGTTATAAACCAGTTAGTCACAATAACTCGAGTTGTTGGGAGAGGTTCAATCGTAGATTATATATCATTTTTTTTATCCAAAATAAGCCCCAGGGCATGGCCGAATAACAAATATATATGACCGACAATACTAAAGAACGGTAGCCCGTATGCAACCGGACTAACGGGTTAACGGGTCAACACCGCACCCAAATTCCCAACCTTATTATAAGGCGATTTACGTGGGCTGAAAATCCAGGTGGGTTGTTAATTGTGAATGAAGCTTAGAATCCTGTGGTTAAAATACCTGAACCATATTGGCCCACAGTATTGGGCCTGGGAAATGCGAATCTCACCCGAGCCCAGGCACCCAGCCCAAACAGAGAGGGAAACGACTTAAATTGACGAGAAAGATAAATAAAAATTTTATCGCGATATTTTGACGATAATCAAGCTGGTGCGATATATTGACCGGGAAAAAAGCTTTCACTGTGAGCCAGCCAGTGGTAACTCGTTTTGCCGTCGCCTCTTTGCAGTCTCTCGCCCAAAGCTTCCCTTACCTCCATTCTTCGCCAATTCTCGAAGAAGATACCATCTTTCCTGTCAGCTTTTGGAGATGGCAGCCTCACCCAGCCTTTCAGCTCCTCTTCGCATCTCCCTATCTTCTTGCTCTTCTTCTTCCTCTCCTTCTTCCCATTCTCAATCCTGCTCCCCTTCTCTGTTCTTGGGAAGGTAAACCCAGCACGTTCTGTTTTCAGTTTTCACTTCCCATTTATATTCTCTTGATTGAATGCGAATTTCATGAATTGTGGGAATCCCTTGCAGGAACTTATCTACAAAGCTCGTAGCTTCCGCTTTGCCCCGTCCCTACGGCGATTCTTTATCAAATGGTGAGGTTTCGAGTTATTTGAATTATGTCCCCTTTGGGTGTATAGCTCTGAGCATCGTGGGATTTTGTTGATTGATTCAGCTGGTTGTATACTTGGGCAACACTTCTGTGTGTATTGAGTGAAGTAACTGAGTTGCTGTAAGGCACATGTGCCTTTGTCCAGGAATATCGAAGAATGCTTTTGGGTTGCCTTTAAAGATAGACGACCAGGCTGTCCATGGTTCTGGCCTCAGGTTTTTCTTCTACCCTTTATTTATATTGCTGGTTTTGCTGAAATGTTTGTTTCGTGAGCATATATGTCAGTTGGAATCTATATGGCCATATGGGATCTTACCAATCACTATTCTTATTCAAGTTGACAATAAAATTGTAGACTTCGAGAATAGCGTTTGCCGAATAAATTAGCTTGACTTCATCACATTCATGTGACACAGTGACAGAGGGATAGTGCTGGTGCTAAAGTTTCTGTTGGGAGTTATGCTTAAGAAACTAAAATCACTAGCAATTTAGCAGTTTGCACTCGATCTTTCAGCTGTGACTGGTTCAGAATAGATGGGGGAATCAATAAGCCATTGAAATTAGGTTGATAATAGTCATTTTACGAATCATATGCAGGTCCGCGGAGGATGATGGGAAGAAGGGTAACCCTCCCATAATGCCAGCAGTGATTACACCTGGAGGAGCTCTGGATCTCTTATCCGTGTTGTTTAGAAACCGTATTATCTTCATTGGCCAGCCAGTCAATTCAAGAGTTGCTCAGCGTGTCATATCGCAACTTGTGACTCTAGCGACTATTGACGAGAAGGCAGATATTATGGTGTGCTTAAGTTTTCAATGAACAATGTTCCTCTTTTCTTGTGGGATTCTCTTATGGTTGTTACCAAATGCCAAATGCTAGCCTAAGTTCTAGTGGTTTACTCTTCTCTATTTTGTCAGGTGTATCTGAACTGCCCTGGTGGAAGTACATACTCTGTGTTGGCAATCTATGACTGCATGTCTTGGGTAATTTAGTTTCAGTTCTGTTGAATCTTTGATTTTATTCTGATTTCATCAGCGATATTAATGTCTCTGCTGCGTTGGCACATTATTACTTGGCACACATTAAGAGCTGAATTTGGTGAAATCTAGCGCTAACTAGGGTGTGTTGGTTAGGGTATATACAATAGTAATTGTCTTTGAATGTACATGTTTATTGCTTCCTTATCATGCATCAAGTTATTTTTTCAGTTGCTCTTTATCAACACTCTTAAGTCTTCTTAATGTTTTTCAGATAAAGCCTAAAGTTGGCACTGTATGTTTCGGGGTAGCTGCAAGCCAAGGAGCGCTTCTTCTTGCTGGTGGAGAAAAGGGAATGCGGTATGCAATGCCTAATTCCCGAATAATGATACATCAACCACAGAGTGGATGTGGGGTAAGTTAGAAATGACTTGTAGCTTAGAGATCAATTAATCGAAGAAAACTTGTGGTTGTTTGCTAGTCGCTGAATGTAATGTAAGGTGCAACCACCAGGAAGCAGAATTTGTTATTAGTGGAATGGTTGATACTTGATTCCATATGTGGCATAACAGCTCATGAATCATTCAACTGCTATTTGCCTAAATTCCAGCACGTAACTAACTGTAATTGTAGTTATGAGCTTCATGTTGCAAGGATATCAGATCTTCTCCATTCCTCAGCAGTTTGATAACTTGCAGTAGCATCCCTACGTTTTTGACTGACTAAACCACGTTTCTGTGTCCTTTTAGGGTTCCCTCTTGTATTACTTACCTTAGGTACGCACACTGTCTCATGGAAGTGTTTGCAGTTCCATTTACTTGTGGGCAATTGATATTACATCTAGGTTCTATCCTAATTAATTAGCTCCCCTGAAGACTTGTGTTTAATTCACAAAGTTATCTTCTAATTCCTTGTCTTTTCTCCCACCATCTTTGTGCATCTTGCTGTACCTTATACATTGATTTCTTAGCCAAAAGGCCGAGAAAGGTATCTTGCTGTTCCTTCTACCTCCCAATTAACATATTGTTGCAAAAATTGAGTTGCCTTAAGTTCATCGATACCTGGTAGCTACTGCTGAAGACCTAGTTGATCTCAGATAGTGTTTGATTTGTGTGTTGAATTTCATCCATGTAGGGTCATGTGGAGGATGTGAGGCGACAAGTGAATGAAGCTGTTCAATCTCGCCATGTAACTCTCTCTCTCTCTCTCTCTCTCTCTCTCTCTCTCTCTCTCTCTCTCTCTCTCTCTCTCTCTCTCTGCCTCTAGAACTTATTTTATGCACATTGATCTCCTGGAAGGCTGAGAAAATAAACTGTCAGTTATTTCCAAGTTCATGAAATAGGCTTATGGGGTCTTCTTCTTGACTGAGGGAAGGTTGTTGTGAAACTGAGCTTCCAGAAAAAACCTCATCACTGCTGAAACCTGCAACTTTGAATTCCTGAGCTTCAAATCCCAGCAACTGCTTATATCATTTAAAGAACGCTGTGGCTGTTAATACTGTCTTTCATGGAATCTGATATGTCTGGCACTTGGAATGCAGAAAGTTGACAAGATGTATGCTGCATTTACTGGCCAACCTCTTGAGACTGTGCAACAGTACACAGAGAGAGATCGTTTCTTGTCTACATCAGAGGTATGTTGTCACGACCATTCCAATCTAACATGAATGGTAGTTCTATTCCAATTGTTAAAAGCAACGAGAGAATGCTAAAATTGGATTCTTCAGACGATTTGACATTTACAGATATTATGAACTACTTGTACCTTGCACTTGAATTTTTTAGATTGTTTTGCCCATGTGAGTTGATTTTTGTGCTTTTCCCTGCCCTTTGGATCGCAGGCAATGGAGTTCGGGTTGATTGATGGCATTCTGGAAACAGAGTACTGAACTTAGATGAAGGGTTTTGTATGAAGTAGCTCACAAAATACCATTTAAACAGTTTATGTTCCTGAACCCTTGACGATGGTAGATGAGAAACTTATAGTTGCATGTATTGTTAATTCCTTACATTAAGTTTTGTTTTCGATATTTCTGATTTCTCTTATTATTGCACACGAGAAGGAGAAGGCAGGGCAATAGATGAAGAGAGCATCCCAAGTCTTTTTTTCTTTTTTCCTCCAGCTGTTCATGAGTTTACAGCAAATATAGGAAGCAAAATAATGGCACCATGGGGTGCAAAGAGGCTTCTCATCTTTTCCTAAATTACAACACAAAGATGATAGGTACAGCCGAATCCTGATTTATGAGAGCTGGTTAACCAATAAAAATACACGTGTATCGAAAACCCAAGTTGTTTGCTGCAATGCCAGACCATCCATGACTCGGTCTTTTGCTGCAAATGTCCATTCCCCATTTGCATCAGTCGCTCATTTCCCTGTCAAACACGGTTAAGCAAAAATGAACCAGCTCTCAGAAGTCGATCTTTGTGAAACTGTACGGCTATATTGAAGTCGTTGAAGAACCCTTACCGTAGTTTTGGCGCACCCTGGTGAACTTGTAAATTGCTTTTGTTAAGGAGCCAAGCCTCATTGACTTCAATGATCCCATATGGCTGCAAAAGACCAACATAATCACCAGTTCATCAAAAAAGAAACCTTTCTGTAGAACTCAAATCAAAATCACTGCATGCACCCCCCTCAATCTTGCACAAATAGGAACACGAAAGCATCAATGGTGTAATACCGAGTGTCACGAATGATTCAGTTCTTAAAAACCACAGTTTGTCTGCTAATGGAGCAGAATTTAATAGAGTGGAGTATGAACAACAAAAAATCAGTTCTTAGGGTATTGATGGTTTGGGGAAGCCATTCACTGACTAGTTCTAATAATGAGCTTATGGATTCAAACCGAAAAACTTTCCAAAAAAAGCACTAGGCATTACAGAGCATCTTAAAGACAAGAGGTCCAACTTCCATCTATAATCAAAGGAGAGCATGAAACTTCAGCTCTGCTTTAGTGCCATATGACCATCTACAAAATATCTCCACATAGTTATCCCGAAACCCACTTAGTCATACGAGCTGGACAGAGACCGAGATATTTGTCCAAGAATGGATATTAAGGCACAGCACTTAAGAGATCCTTGTAGCATGAAATCGTGATTAACTGCAATGGACATGGTAATCTATACTGGGTAATACTTGAAACAGTTTTAGACCAGATGGCCCCATTCCTTTCACCACATCAATCCTATTCCTATAAAGCCCTCTATTCATCTAGCTGATTAGAATATAAGCACAAATCCCTCCACAGAACAATCTTTTTTCACACGAGACTTCCAGTGTTATGACTTACGAGATCAAAGCAGCTGGCTCTATGTTATATTATTTCATTCTAGTAGGGGCAAGTTCAGGGTCATTAACCAAACTGCATTACAGGAAAACAGAAATTTCAAAGCATAACTGAACCAAACTACTTACACTATCTCTGTGTATCTAGTTCTCCAAGCAGGGAAACCAAGATGGCACCTCACCGGTGCATAAACCAATAGTAGGTCAGGTTCTGGCCCCTTGCAACCTGAAGGAGAAAGATTTCATTTCCAGAAGTTACGAACTTTGTGATCGGAAAGAGCAATCAAACAAATAAATCCAACTGCTCAAAATGATCCGAGAGAAGTAGAACAAACCTACAGCTCTTAACGCCTCCCCGATTTTAGCTTCAGTAAAAAACTGCTCATCACGGTTTCCAAGTTCCTTATACTCAGCAAAGAGCAAGTTCGCAGCTTTGACCACCCCTTCCTTTCCATCAGACACCGAAGCAAATTCAAGAGCCATACATTTCGGTTTTTCCATCAAATCTTTCTCACCAAGTTCCTGCAGGAAAAACCGAAATTCAGGGGAAATATGTCATCATTTTAGAAATTTACTTGGACATTTTTCAGTTGCCATATGTTATTAGTTGCTCATCCATCATTCGCGGAAAGGAAAAAATCATAAATAAAAACAATACAAAACACACTAACGAATCTGGTTTTATGCCTTCACAGTGATCACAATTCGACTAGCTAGCACCATTCAATGATCAAGACCAAATTCAGGAACAGTTCTGAGGCGAAGTTAAAAACAAGTAGAATGAAGATGTTACCTCCAAGAGAACTGCATTATCCAACATCTTCACTATTGAATCTTTCGATTTCTTAAGAACTCCTACAGTACAGGCACACAAAAAAGAGAGAAACCCACCATGTTCAGATTCAGGACATATTGCAGTACTAACGATCTAGATGATGCACACAGCATCCTTTTTTACCTTGTGCATCGTACAGGCACATTCTTTTCACCCCCATAGCTTCCAGCCACCTCAAGAGCTGAACAATCTTGGAAGTTTGAACAGCATCATCACTCTCTATCACAACCGCCAGGTACTTAAGCTTGCTGATGTTAAGCTCTTCGTAACGAGTTAGCAGCCCGCTGGAGATTATACGACTTTCAACAGCTTTAGCAGCTGCAGCTACAAAGTAACCTATGCTGATAAGTAGGTGTACCAAACTCCACAACAGCCGGAGTCCCAGATTCCCAATCTGTACAAAATTGCCAAGAAGAACCCCCAATATCAATACCTAGCTAACTCAACTAACCCAGAAAAAGAAGCATCCCAATTCTGATTTCCATTGCTCCATACAGCAGAAAACAGCGCTATGGGAAACATATTTGACCACCCCGTCTGCTTCACACATAACGGATTTGGGAAGTTCATAAGTCAAAATCCCCACTACTCCGACTGCGATAGCATACCTAACAGACATTCTTGCGCCCAAAAGCTTAATGCTAGAGGGAAGAAGTTACCTGGTGAATCGAACAGGAAAATCCTCGAACTTTTTGCTTACGGTCCATTGATCTGACCAACGAAGAAAGACCCAAGTGAAAAAATATCACTCTCAGAAACTTCTAACGACAAAAATCAGTAACAGGGATATATCATCAGTACGTAGAAGAAGAAGGAGCATCCAGAGACTATATAGTGATCCTGTAGAGCAAGACAAAAGGCTGCGGGAGAAGAAACCAAAGGTGTATTGGATTCTTAAGGGAAGTAACTGAAAGAACAAGGGAGGACTGGATTCTCGATCACAAGGACAGAAAGGGTGGGGACGAAGATGCAGACTTCCAGGGCAATATGGCACACATAGTACACAGCAGAAGGAGCGGACTACGGCAATGGAGGAAAAAACAAAAAAATCAATAGACAACCAAAAATGCGCTTTGTGTGTTCAGTCGTTCGGCGATTTGAAACGAGACGAAACTGATAGAAAAGTTCCAGTTTGATCCCTATGCTTTTGGGGAATCTACCATATGGTACTGCTAGTCTGTGCTCTGGAGCCGATGAATTATTAGGTCGCCAGATTCTTGAGTTACTAACAAATCTGTCGCTTGGATTCAAAGATTGTGAAACCGTATCGGAGATTATATTTATCATTTCTGAACCAGTCTTTCCCACCCCATGCAATTCAATGGAGGACTTCTTCCATTCTTGTGGCATGATCGGGCGGGGAAAACGGGGTTCGAACCCGAGACTTTTGTCGTGACAACTGGTTCCTGGAAGAGTTAATATCTCCATTAGCTAAACCCCTTCTTACCCTGCCTTTGGACTCGTCTTTTTTTCTTATGAAATTTTGAGTTAGACTTTTTTTGGGTCCACTTTCCCATCCCCTCTATCAAAAAAGAAAAAAAAGGCAAGCTTGCTCTAGTCCAGCGGGAAGGCGCAAACGAGCGTGAGCTGCTATACCTAATCCCCGGAAAAAATCCCAAAGTACACTAGTTCTTAAAAAAAATTCCCAAAATACATAAGTTATAAAAAAAATTCCCAAAGTACACATGTTTGAGCATCACCGTGTTAGACAAAAGCGGTGAAGGTCATCACCGCGTTTGACGAACACGGTGAGTACTTCACCGTTTTAAACTAAAACGGTGATGTATTCACCGTTTCAAACTAAAACGGTGAAGGGTTCACCGCGTTTGTTAAAAACGGTGAACACCTCACCGTCTTAAACAAAAACGGTGAAGCCTTCACCGTTTTAAACTAAAACGGTGAAGGCTTCACCGTTTTTGTTGGACACGGTGAAGTTGCTGACGTGGACAGCACGGGGTATTCACCGCGTTAGACAAACACGGTGAATACCCCGTGTTTGTTTGCATCAGTGATCCGCGCCAGTGTGCTTTCACCGTGGCCGTTAGATGCGGTGAGACGCGGATCGTGGTTTTCTTCCCACGATCCGACGCCTCACAGCACGCCACGTCAGCTCTGCATTCACCGCGTTTGGTTAAGGCGATGAGTTCACCGCGTTCATCAAATGCGGTGAATGTTCCCCTAATAACTGCGCAGCAGCTCCTCCCCCTTCCCCCAAACTATAAATACCCCCTTCCCCTTTCACTTTCAACTCACCCCACAAACATTTCACTTCTTTCTCCCTCAATTTATCCGCTCTAGTCTCGTTCTAAGTATGCTCTATGGTTGCGGCTAAGTCCGATCTTCCACATCAGAAAGAATTACTAGAGTTTGACCCTAAAGCCCCCGTCCCGCTAAGTTCCCGTCCCTTACAAACCTAAACCCGTCGAACCTCTGTCCGGCTTCCGCCAATAATGGACGAAGAGGCTCTTCGTGTAGGTTTTTGGTTTGTGATTTTTTTTAATCGAAACAATTTGATTTTTTTTTATCAAAACAATCTCTGATTTCATTACTTTTTTATAGATGGGTGCCGAGATATACGATCCTCGATTGTATATCCATTATGGCCCAAGGGATGCGAGTCTCTTAACCGATCAAGAAATGCATCGCTTCCGTGCCATTTGGGATAACAATCCGGTAATTTGATGAACTGACTTGCTTTATTTTATTATTTTCTAATGTTTTATTTTGCTTTATTTAATCTAATAAATTGATGTTTTTCCTATTTTTTTTAGGAATCTCTTGTTCCCGTGGTTCATAAAGGGACCAATAACTTGCCCGCTTGGCATCCAAGGTTGGAGCCCTATATAGCGAGGACCGGTTTGGGAATGTTGCGCCATTTCTTGCGGATCGAGATCGACAACGATCTGCTTACGGCAATGGCGGAACGATGGCGTCCCGAAACCCATACATTCCACCTTCCGGAGGGGGAAATGACGATCACCCTCAAAGACGTGGCGATCCTCACTGGGCTTCCTATATCTGGAGATGCCATCATTGGTTCCACGACCAAACCCGGAGGAGGTTGGGGGCCGCTCATCCGTGATCGTTTGGGCTTCGACATGCCGACCACCACACCAAATCAAGGACGGGGGCATCCACCGTTGAATGCGGGGCAAGTGTCGGTCCCGTGGCTGGTATCTCACATCCAGCAAGAGGTGGAAATCAATGACGAGACACCGGAAGAACAAGTCGAGCGCTACGCCCGCATCTACCTCATCGGTTTGGTGGGTGGATTTTTGTTCCCCGACAAGTCCAACCGGTGGATTCAAGGCATATGGTTGCCATTGCTCACCGGTGACTGGGATGCAATTGGAGAGAAGAGTTGGGGATCGGCCGTGCTAGCGGGCGTATACCGGGAGCTGTGTACTTGCTCGAAGGTTGGGGCAAAGCAAGCTGGTGCTGCGATGTTCATCGTTCAACTGTGGGTATGGGAGCATCTTCCAATGTTCGCACCTCTCGACCCACGTCCATACCGGAGAAACGATGATGAGCTCAACCTTCTGCAAAATCTCCCCTACGGTGTCAAGTAAGTTTATTTCGTACTTAGCCCAATTTAAATTTTATTACATGCTTGAGCTAGATTTAAATTGAATTTATTCTGTACTTAGCCCAATTTAAATTTTATTACATGCTTGAGCTAGATTTAAATTGAATTTATTCCGTACTTAACCCAATTTAAATTTTATTACATGCTTGAGCTAGATTTAAATTGAATTTATTCCGTACTTAGCCCAATTTAAATTTTGATTACATGCTTGAGCTAGATTTAAATTGAATTTATTCCGTACTTAGGCCAATTTAATTTTGATTACATGCTTAACTAGATTTAAATTGAATTTAAATTGATTCCGTACTTTTACTTACAAGGTGGATAGGAGCAAATACGAATGACCATCAGCCTGAGCATTCGTTACTGTTTTATCGTTCTGAGTTAGATAAACCATGGTGGAATCAGGTAATCATGTTTTGTCCATATTTGAACAAGATCAATTTTATCAAAGTAAATGGTCGTTAATTCCGAATTTTTGAATGAATATAGGTTATACGGGATCCATATCCACGTGAAGTGGTTGAGCTGCATCATCTTAGGCACCCTCTGGATCACGAGACGTGGTTGTGCAAGGTGCCATTGATCTGCTGGCACATTGTGGAATGGCACCTACCCGATCGATCCCTGAGGCAATATCGAATGGAGCAACCAATTCCACAAGACCCGCCAGCAGGTTTCAGGGAGCTACATGCTATGGACCTCCGAAACAATGCAAACTGGACGCTAAAGCATGGATTCTACATCAACATCTGGGAGAATCGATCCCAATGGGTGGTGCAAGGGATGCCGGAGACGAGACCGATGGGCTACCACGATGGGTACATGCAGTGGTATCGGAAGTTCACCCTGAGATGGGTGTCAAAGCAAGGTGCTGTGATGGGTTCGTTGGTAAGTCATCCTAATCTCCCTCATTCTAAAATATATTTATTTTAAGGTTTAGTTAATTTGATATATTTTGTGCTTTCCTTAGGTTGATGGTTTGGAACACGCGAAGTACACTCTCGAAAGTGCTCCAACCATGGATGAGCGGAAGACTACTTGGTTGACCCGACTTATGAATAACCTCCTGAGTTGCACCAGAGAGCAAAGGAGGGATGTCGTGGCCTATCCTCCCGTTCCTGCCCCGGCACGACCCTCATTCCGTGATGATGCAGCCATTGTGCCCCCGGTTGAGCCCCCACGAAGGAGCAAACGCAGGCCTTTGCCTACGTTCGAAGAGGTGCGTACCACTCAAGCAACCGAGCTCCCCGAACCGTTCGAGTACCAGTGGGCACCTGCAGCGGATGCCGGTGGAGGGTCATCGAGTCGTGGAGGATCTCAGGAATGGGACACTTTCTCTCATGGGTTCTCTCAATTCCAACATCAGCAACAAAGTTCGATGTTTCAGACCCCGCAACAACAAACTCCGATCATTCGTCAAGCTACCGATCCAACTCAGCCACCACCACCACCATATGTAACCCCAGTTGGGGCTCGGGTCAAGAGAAATCCGCGACCAGCCGTTGAGCGAGCCTGCCAAGAAGCAGCGGCGGAGGGGGGAAGAAGGGGTCGAGGACGTCGTGGAGGACGAGGAGGAAGAGGTGGAGATGGGGGCCAAAATGAAGCAAATGAGTGAATTTATCGTTTTATCATTGTAGTGAACTATCAATGTTGTTTTTGTGATTTTTAGGTGTTGTTATTTGAGTTTGCATTGTCTAAAAACTATCCTACGCACTTAAGTTGTCGAATGCCTTTTCTGGATCATTTTATCAAGAATCAGTATCTTCCCTCAACACAAAAAAGTTGGGAAAATCAACCACGATCGCATAGAATTTTACAGATCCCAATTCCGAGTCCAAACGAGTGAGATAAGTGACGTCAAAGCGTGATCGTATCGTTAAAGTAACTTTTGCGTAGTATAAACTAAAACGCCCGTATCTTATTCGTTTGAGGTCGAATAACGAGCCGTTTGCGGCAGCGCGATCGTATCGACAAGGACAACATTTTAGATTTAACAAAATACTTGGACTTCAAATGCAAACGGTAATGAAAAATTAAACAAGCGATCAATTTAGTAGCAGAATACAAGTAAATGCAAATTAAGTTGATGGTTGTCCTGGGCAACGCCTCTTGTCGTGACCAGGTTGTCTGCACTTAGAGCATCGCTTCGGTCCCCTTCTCGTCCGTTCAACTTGATCCATCTCATTGTGTATCCTTTCAACTCTAGGACGGCCTTTGGTGCGTTTTAGGTGCAACGGTGGGATAATCAACTTTCCAGCGTATATAGGCCAATACGCTTCATCTGGCATGGGGCTCAAAGCTGCATTATATGAGTTCCGTATCGCTTGTTCAGTGTAGTAAGGACTCACCAGGCTGTTTCTGTTCATGGTTATTGACTTAGCAACCGCCATTGCATGTGAACAGGGTATCCTTTCGTTCTGATACTTTTGACAAGAACACTCCCCTAATTCGTAGTGCAATTTGACCGTTTGACGATTGTGACCACGTCTCCCTCCACCCCATATACCTGTTTCGACAGCGAATATTCCTTCACTGCGGTTAAAAAGAACAACCTTATGCTTACTTGATTTTTCATCGTTCTTCTGCATTTGAGTGAATACGTCATGTGCTACTGAATGACCTTGCAACTCCCTCCCTATAGCTAGCTGTAGCCGAGCAACTCGCCACTCGTTGACCTTCCAATAAGACATTTCCACGATGACAGAAATAGGCATCGCTCGAAGACCCTTGTACACATTAATTATACTTTCTCCATGGTTGGTAGTTGCAATGCCCCATCTGGCCCCGTTGTCCATATGGAACGTCCACATGGGCAACTCTTGACCTTCAGCCCATACTGCTCCAGCTCGGTGGGTCTGACGGATCGTTTTCATGATCTGCTCGTACTTTTTTGGTTGATGTGCAACCGCTAAAAGGTGAACAAAAGACAAACTGGTCAATACATGATGAATAACATCAGCTTATCAGCTTAATAAACACAAACTTAAATCGCATAATAAAAACATTAGTACCTGCATTCCAAAGTAGATTTTTGATGTCTTTCTTCTTCCCAAATTTGTGTTGGAAATTGGCGAGCCAGTGTCGAATACACCATCTCCATCTCCACCCCCACTCGTCGGGAAAACCACCAACAACATTCCTTATCCCCGCATGTCGATCGGATATAATCGTAATATCTTCCCGCTGTGTCACGTGTTCGTGCAGTTGGTCAAAGAACCAAGCCCAACTTAAGCTGTTCTCCCCTTCCACTAATGCAAATGCAAGCGGGAAAATCCGCCCGTTTCCATCAACGCCAGTGGCAATTAGAAGACATCCTCTGTACTTCCCAGTAAGGAAAGTTCCGTCAACCTGAATAAAAATTTAGGATATAATTAGTATGAAATATACTTAACAGCAAATAATACAACATTTAAAACCTTATTACTAGTTGGTAAAATACCTGAATAACCGGTATGCAGAACCCAAAACCGTCAATGCATGGTTTAAAAGCCCAAAAAAGACGATGGAACATCAGCTTATCCTGTACTCGAACTTGATCCTCAGTGTATACATTGT